AAACTCATCATTCGCGCCGCTGTGAATACTATCCATCGCAGCAATATTTCAGAAGCCCACGTTTTCTTCATAGACATACGTGACTTTACCGAAAAAACTAAGAGTATGAATCTTTGCAGTCACGAAAGCTTCAAATCTACAATTAATACCCTCTACGGGGAGGAATTTCACCTATCTGTTAGAATCTTTAACCTACGTGACTTTAACCGAAAAAACTAAGAGTATACGTTCTAGATTTGAAGCTTTCGTGACTGCAAGGATTCATATTCTTAGGTTTTTTCGGTAAAGTCACGTAGGTAAAAAATTTAAATTAAAAACCTGAAGACGGAAGCTTGTGTTGCCTCCGAAACGTCGTGATTTTTATTTTATTTTACTTTTATTAATTTAAATTTTAATTTTTTACCTACGTGACTTTACCGATAAAACCTAAGAATAAGAGTATACGCTTGTGGCTCCGCACAACGAATACAAATGTCGTGCACGTTGATTTAGGTCTTCTCGGCGATGCACGCCTGCCCCCTGCCGAGCAAAGAACGACACGGACATGAGAGAGACTGCGCGCGGCTCCCAGCGCAGGAGACGTGGAGCGGACAAGTGCAGTTCACGTGGCCGAGTGAAGTGGACTGTGGCGTGGCGAGGCCGTGAAAGTGCGACGGGGATGGGGGGGGGGCAGCCTTCATCCAGCAGTGGATAGAACCAATGGATGACAATGACTTATCAACAACGATGCGAATCGCTGAGTCCCGTGACCTGTTTCGTTTCGGGGTTTGTTACGCGGCGGTGAAATATTGGTCCAGAAGGTCCACGGACTGATAAACTGGAGGAATCTGGTGAGCTATGGAGCTATACTCTTAGTTTTTTTTTCCGGTAAAGTCACGTAGGTAAAAAATTAAATAAAAATTAATAAAAGTAATAATAGAAATAAAATAATTTAAAAATCACGACGCTTCGGAGGCAACACACTTGATACAGCAAATCTGGCTGTGATTGTCCCACCTGATGACAGACACTTGTGCTGCCTCCGAAACGTCGTGATTTTTTTAAAAAATTTCTATTACTACTTTTATTAATTTTAATTTCATTTTTTACCTACGTGACTTTACCGAAAAAAACTAAGAGTATGAATCCTTGCAGTCACGGAAGCTTAAAATCTCGAGCTATGAAGCTATTTTTTTACACAGGTGTCCAGTAGGGACGGGTCAGAAAGTTACAAATACGAGATAAAAAAAATACGAAAGGAGTGCAGATAAAGCCCGCTGAGCTATCGGCTTCTTTTTTTCGTCCAAAGCGACATAAATGATCAGCTCGAAGAAGTGGCTCCTCGTGTGTGGTGTGAACCCCTCCAGGCGTGCGAGTGGGTGGAAAACTCCATCCCCAAAAACAGGCGGAACAATAATTGCAACGTGTCACGAAAGATAAAAAAAAATTGCATTCTCATTTAGATAGTTTTTTTCCCCCACCGATCTGCGGAGCAGTGAGCGACGAGCATGGCGAGCGATGTCACCAGGACATTGCGACAATGGAGAAACGCTCTCAGGGCAAATGGAGCTCATCAATGCTTGCAGACTATTGCTGGACAATGACAAGAGATGCTTCATTTAATGAATACAAGAGACAAGCCAATAAACGCCGAGTAGACATTGAATAAGGACTAAACTATGCACTTATATATACATTTAAAAAAATGCCTTTTGTTTAATAATTTATTTTATTTATATAACCCTTTTGCAACCATAAACACGTGAAAAGACCTCGGTTTGCAATTTTTGATGATCATTGCTTGTGTTGCAATCGAAACGTGATAATTTTATTGTTTTATTTTTATTATTTTATTATTTCCCTTCTACGTGACTTTACCGAAAGAACCAAGAATACCTATTCTCATTGTTCACGTGTGGAACGCAGTTTGCTGCATCGACTTCTCCTGGTGAGCCAAGGCATGGACACCCCCTTCTCCTCCTGCACTCCCACGGGTAGGGAGCGCACCATCAATGAGTGATCCGTCAACCCTCGCCTCCCACAGTGCTTAGCTCATTACAGGCGTGTATCGCCCCAACCGCCCAGCTATTGCATACAGAGACAAAAATCACCCGTAGAGCCTTAACAGACTGTTGGGGCAAGTGCTGTTAGCGAGCGTTTATGAAGGACGCCGCGGCATACGAGGTGGTGGGTGGTCAGCACCACGCCCGGCCGCCTTTGTCTCCCCAGTGGCGATGTTTACACACCGCACCAGGTACTCATTGGAGGCTGAGTTGACCATCGGGAGGTACAGGACCGGCTCAGATTTCAGTTTCAGTTTAATGTATTAGGTATAACTTTGTGAGCCAAGTGGCTCTTGACTCGGGTGCAACCGCCACAAACAAAACCATGAACAAGAAACGCAACAGACAAATCCAGGAAAAAACAGCAAAGTCTTCCAGAAAAAGCACCGCATTTCAACGTTGTGTGCAAACATTTCAGTGGGCTGAAAGTCAAACAATAACAACCATAAGACAATTTAGATTACATTTATCAGGCTAACCCTGTACTACAACAAACAAACATGGCTAAACCAAAACGTTTTCAAAATCACCAAAATAAAGCTATGAAAACAATGTAACAGTGATCATAGGAACTGTGATTCAAATGTAACAATAAACGATATACATAACATGTACGACCAAACTTTGCAGCCATAGCTGGCTGCATGAGTCACTCCATAACAGCAGGAGTATCAGCAGCAGTATCAACAATTTTCAGATAACACTGGTCAACACACTTTTTCTGGCATAAGGTATTCCAATGGTTTTAAGGTAAGTTTGGGGTGCTGATTCCAAATCTGGCATCAGTTTTTGTCAATCACATCAGGTTTTTGAGATATCAAATATTGCATTTTCAATAAAAATTGCAGAAGAAAAATGTTAAATAAATGTGGATATCTACATTAAGTGATATTATAAACACACTATCCTAAAAATACAGCACCATATTTTAACACTAAAGCAGTCACTGACTCGCAACAACTTGCAATCATAAGTGACAGAGTTCATTTCGGGTAAAATCAATGAAAAAGGGGTATGCCGATAGCATAAAATGAGATGTGATAGAGCAAATCCGAGATCAGATTTGGAATCAGCACCCTGAAATGAGTCTGAAACAGCTGCAAAAGTCCAGGCCAGAATTTTTTTTTTTTGTTGACCAGTGTAATCGCTTTCACGGGTGTTGGCCGTGAGCGGGAATCGAACTCGGGTCACCCCGGGTTCGTAGCGCAGCGTAGCGCTAACCGCTCCACCACCGCTCCCCACTTACACGCAATCACGCGTCGATTAATATTCCTAATCGCTTGCACGTGCTCTCGGCAACGATTAGAGTGCACATCGCTTACATTGTTTTCAGGTGAAGCGAATCATCACGGGGAGGTGGGGGGCTGATGTGGTTGCGTGACAGGCAATGAAGTGGGTGTCTAATGGATTATTCGGGGTGTCAGATTAACACCCCCCCACCCTCATCATCCAACCGACGATTCCATTTAATTGTCACGATTCTGGATAACAATACTATTAAATGCGTCGATTTAATAAAAAAAAACACCTATTTTTGTTTACTCTTTCTATCATGTTTGTTTATTTTCCTGACTCGGTGCAGCAGCGTTGTTCATTTTATTTGCAATCACTGGGGGGGGGGGGGGTATCAAAAAACACTTCGATTAGAATGTCTTATTAGGCCAATTAATCGATGTTAATCAAAGAGCCGACGCGTCGTCACACACCTCCTACACGTGTGTGTATATATATGGCAGCTAGAAATCGCTCGCCCCCCCACCCTCACTGAATGCGTCTCGATTCTCGCCGCTGGGCTGCTGCATGGTCTCCCATTGAGCGCCTCTCTTTGCAGTGATGGTAACGATACATTTTGTTGTCGAGTCTTATCGTCGCGACTGCCTGGCACGTTCAAATAGCCCGTGATGTTGGTGCCACTAATGACTCTTTGCAGTGCTTGCGAGTGCCAACGTGGACACGTACAACTCGTTTCGCACCAGCGGTCATTTCCTGCTTTTGTAAAATCGTAACATCCTGGATGCGTTATATTTTTATTTAAAGCTTTAGTGACTGCAGGGATTCATATTATTGGTTCTTTCGGTAAAGTCGCATAGAAGGGAAATAATAAAATAATATAAATATGAAACAATAAAAAAATCTCACGACGTTTCGACTGCAACACAAGCAATCATCATCAGGTGTGAAATCCACAGCAAGAAAAGTAATGGCACTGCCGAGTGGGGAACGAGGCAAAACGCGTGTAGGTGTAAATCTGAGTTGGACCACCTCGCGTTGTTGTATTGCTGCGTGTGGCCCCGCTGATCGTTGACATCGCGAGGCCGCGGGAGGTGGCAGCGGCTTTCTGGAGATCGTCATCCCACAGTGGGCTGATCGTGGATCTGAATGCTGGCGACGATGAGTTTTTTTTCGAAAGCGTCGTTTGAGTTTTGAATCAAATTTCTCACCGTGAGATTGTGGAGTTAAATCGAGGATTGCACAACAACACAATTTGCATTTGTGTTTATCGTTCCCCGTTGAGAAATCGAGTCCACGCTTTACGTAAATGGGGGGGGGGGGGGGGGGGGTGCGCTACAGATGGATTTACTATTCTCTACTCGTACAACGGCAGTAGCAATGCGTGTTCGGCAGCTAGACGTCGGGGTGTGCTGCTCGCCACGACCAGAGAGAGTCACGCGTTCGCCCGTGTCGTTTTTGCCGTTGAATGCCGAGTCTCTTTATTAACATAGGGCATAGTTTATTACAAGATACCAGAGTGAATCATTTCAAGACCTGTTCACACCACGCTTTCGTTGTCGTCGTTGTATGATAATGCGTTGCCGTCTGAGACCCCCAAGCCTTGGCCAGGGGCCGGGTCCGTGTCTCTTAAAATCGACTCGGCTGCCTGTGATGAGAAACTCCACGTGTTCTTATCGCCTGCGGTTGTGCAAACCTTGGTCCTGGCCACGAATGTCCTCCGAGATCATGGGTGGCCAACCTGTAACGGCGCGAGAGCCAAAAAATTACCCGTGAGTTCTGCAAAGGGCTAAGTGTGTGTGGAAATATAATGACCGTTTTCGGCACGGGAAAACATTCAGTATTCGTTCCTACTGTGACTCCCGTGTGTGTTCTACGTTGTGCACTTTCCATAGAGCCGCATGCGGCTTGGGAGGCGCCAGTTTGGCCACCTGCTGTACCCCGAGATGCTGCTCTCTATCTCGGTCCGTTTCGATGTAAACATGTGCCTTGCCTTGCGGTGTGTCCTGTGGCCATCTCTGAAACCCTTCGCAGCCTCCAAAAGACACAAAGAAGCAGGGCACGGCGGGCAAGGTTGCCGTTAAAGAGAAGAAGCCAAAATCCGGTACAACCGGTGGAAAAGCCAAGAAAAAGGTGCGAGATTGGAGTGCGATGCACGCTCTGACCGCTAAAGGCGCTTGCGAGCCGTCAGGCCCGCCTCCTGCTGTTGTGGAGTGACTCGTGCAGCCAGCTATGGCTGCAGAGTTTTGGTAGTACATGTTGTTTATGCCATTTATTGTGAAAATTCCGTCAGTCCTATGATCACTGTTTCATTGCTTTCATGGCTTTATTTTGGTGATTTCGAAAAGCGTATTGGTTTAGCCATGTTTGTTTGTAGTACAGAGTTAGACTGATGGCCTTAATCTAAGTTGTATTGTGGTTGTTGTTGTTTGACTTGCATCCCACTGGGATTTTTGCACACAGCGTTGGTGTACGGTGTTTTTTCTGCAATATTTAGCTGTCTTTTCTTGGATTTTCTGTTTGCACTCGATCACATATTCACTTTAAGATTTTTTTGTTCATCCTTTTGTTTTTTGTCTGTTGCGGTTGCACCCGATTCAAGAGCCGAATGACTCACAGGGCTATATCTAATAAATGAACTTGAAACTTAAATAAATGAACTTGAAACTCTGGAGAGGCCCCGATCGGCCCAAGGAGCCGTCTCGCGTCCCCCAGTGGTCGTGGGGACGCGGCTGCTGCGCCTGTAAAGTGGGTTTGAGGGCGCGTTTGACGCGCGGTGTAATGGTAACGTGGCCAAGTGGTAACTTCAGATTTTCGTCGGCCTGTGGGAGGTTTTTTTTGGTACAGGTATGGCGTGGGTAATGGACCTCGCAGCGGAATCTATTTTGTTGCACTGCACTTGTATGCTCCCCGCCTTCACAGACTCGCATACATGTGAACCCTTACGGTTTTACCCCGTGAACTTGTACAGGGATCTTTAGTTTTCAGGTCCATACGGCGTACAGCCATTTCGATACGGGAACATTTGTTTAGTCTTTTTGTGTTTCACCTTTGTCATGGGACTTTCTAGGATGAACGTTGAGATTTGTAATAACGGGCACGGGGTGACCACTAAGATCTGAATTGGTCTAACAAGGTAGCGCACTGATGATGGTTTGACCGGCATGGGACTCTCTTAATGACCAGCTGAAAATACAGGTACAGACAAAGGTCTGCTCCATCAACAACAAATAATTCTTCGTCGTGTAGGTTAATCACACCCATACGACCTATCTGGCCAATCATTGTCGGCATCATTTCTACAAGTTGCTGCTGACGTTAGGAACGGTGAAAACGGATACGGGGTTTGCCCCTTCGAAAAAACGAATTCTGTATGCTGGGAAAAATGTTCTCTAGGAGGCCTTTCAACATCGTGGGTGGTAAAAGTGCAGCCCTGCAAAGTCTCTTGGAAGGCTACGACCGTGGATTGATGGGATATTACACTGGCTGGAATTGGACTGTGTACTGTTCCCATACCCCCCACTCCAATTGCGGTCTCTTGCCCACGCACTCTGCTGCAGTGGTCCAAGCAAGTGTCGCGCGAGAAGCTGCGAAACATGGTGCTGTTCGACACGGCCACGTTCGACAAGCTACAGAAGGAGGTGCCCAACTACCGGCTCATCACGCCCTCCGTGGTGTCCGAGCGCCTGCACCTGCGCGTGTCGCTGGCGCGCGAAGCCCTGCAGCTCCTGTGCGACAAAGGTGCTGCTGCGTCGGCTGTTGCTGCGTTGGCTGTTGCTGCGTCGGCTGTTGCTGCGTCGGCTGCTGCGTCGGCTGCTGCTGCTGCGTCGGCTGCTGCTGCGTCGGTTGTTGCTGCGGCTGCTGCTGCCACCGCTGCTGTGGGGGGGGGGGGGGGCTAGGTGCGTTAGTGTCATAGATCTGAATGGGGGTTGCTAGCCTTGCGGTGCGTTAGACTAGAATGGAATGAATTTGGGAAGCGCTCCTTTGATTTGAGGCCGTTATGGTTTCTTAGCGCCGTGGTACATGCTGCCATTGGAGACTACTCCAGAGGTCCTTTGAACCCATCGCGTACAACATGTCACTAATTCATTGTAGCACGTCCGGTTGAACGCATGCCTGTGGTGCGGAGGAGTGAGTCTACCCCACACATGGCACAACCAGTGTTGACTGTCCCCACAAAGTGGTAGTAATTTTATCGCCCTCCAAAGAGGGGGGAAGGATTGATGGGCCGAGTCGACCCCACAACCAGGATTTGAACTCACGAGCGTCAGATTGTAAGCTGCTCTCTACCGTTTTAGATTTGAAGCTTTCGTGACTGCAGGGATTCATACTCTTACAGCAAATCTGGCTGTGACGGTCCCACCTGATGACGGAGACTTGTGTTGCCTCCAAAACGTCGTGATTTTTTATTATTATTATTTTATTAATTTTAATTTCATTTTTTTTACCTGCGCGACTTTATCGAAAAAACTAAGAGTATACTCTTATTCTTTGGTTCTTTCTGTAAAGTCACGTATAAAGATAAAATAATAAATGAAATAATAGCATACGACGTTTCGATTGCAACACAAGCAATCATGATGATTGCTTGTGTTGCAGTCGAAACGTCGTATGCTATTTAATCATGATGATTGCTTGTGTTGCAATCGAAATGTCGTATGCTATTATTCAATTTATTATTTTATCTTTATACGTGACTTTACCGAAAGAACCAAAGAATAAGAGTATGCTCTCTACCGCTTAGCAACTTTACACCACGTGCCTCTATAATCGACGGGTGCGAGACGAGGGGGGGGGGGTGATGTTGACGGGCGCGGGTCGTGTTGCAACGCGTGCGACTGCTCCCAGGTATGATCCGCAAGGTGGTGCGAGAACGAGGCCAGCACGTGTACACGCGCATGGCGCACACGGACGACGGAACAGACGGTGGCGACGCGGGGGGCAAGCAGCAACAGCAGCCGTCACAGCAGCAGCGCAAGTGACATCGACTCGCTATGGGAACACTCTCACCCACACCCCCCCCCCTGACCTCTCCATACTCGATCACAAAGTTGCCCCCCCCCCCCCGCCATCCCAAGGATCTTCCTTGCAGGCCACAGTCATCCCTTATGCCCTGCTTAGATACGCCCCGCCCCCCCAGCCCCATTCCTAACCGTGCTAGCTTGCCAGCCCTAATCTCGAACCACACTGGCGAACTCGACATGCCATAACCAATGTAGCCAACCAGATACGCTGGCGATCCAGAACCCTACCTATAACCAGACCTGACCCTGCTACAGTAGTTAGTCGTGTGTAATCTCAATGTTGGACCGACCCACAAAAAAATAAAATTCTGGATTCCTTTCTCTACGACTGTTATGGGTTTTCCAGGAACGTGTCCTAGGAAATTTGTCTTACCCCGAGGCGTTTATTGTCTCAATTTGTTGTCAGTTGTGTAGCGATTGACCACTCGCCCAAGCCGATGCATTTCGCATGTAGTTCAGTTTTTCTCTTGAGATTTCCTACCCCAGAAAGATGTATCAATGTGTCGATTAAATAAAATGTATTCTTGCTGTAGAATACTTGCATGAAATTGAGTGCGAGATTGTTCAAAAATAGTGAACAAATAGAACTATAAATGATACAAACGAAATGAGAAATGTATGTAAGAAATACATTGTAAATCTAATCCTTGACCACCTTCGGTCACAATGGCGCATCGAATCTCCTACAATTCGTCACGTGCCCCTAGACTAGCCACGCACGGTACCCACTCCCATGCACAAAATAATCATGAGCGGCGTTGCAGAGTAAATAAAAAAAAATTACAATAACCAAGTCTCATTTCGTGTCTGTCCGTTTACATGTCGAGAAAGAAAGGCTTTTTTTATTTTACCACAATTTATCGGGCTCCCACGCACGGTCTTGTGGGAGAATCATTTCAGCAGCCAATTGGTTCAGGACAAGCAAACTCTGGACAGGTTATTAAACTGCTGTGCCATCGCCCTGACAAAGATTATTGTAAGGGTGCTTTTATAAACTTAAATAACTCTTATTACCAAGGCCCCCACAGACCCGGTGACACTTGCTGTCCACTGTTGGGTTTCCAATCGGTAATTTATTCCGCGAAAAAGCATCTGTAACCTTGCATTTAATACACACTCCAACAAACCCACACGGATCATGCAGAGTGGTCTCGACATGTACCGCTGCATGGAGAAGTCTGCTCGCAGTTAAACTTAAAAACCAAACTTTTTATTTAGCAGGTAAGGCCCACTGGGCTACACAACTCTTTTTAAAGTCACCTGGCCACAAATGATGGCTCAACGAAGTGGCTTAAGTGAACATTCATTGAAGCCAAAATACTCGAAACGCGTGTTGCGAAATGTGGAGGGGGGGGAAAACCCGGAGGACCCAGAAAAAATCCACGCAGGCGTCAGCGTTGAGCTCGAACCCACTACCTCCTGTATAGCCGGCGAAGGAATTAAAATCTCACTAACCGTGCATTGGCAACGGGCTGCAAATTCAGCGAGCACAGCAATCAATACCTGATTCTAACCAAATGTGGCCCAACTTTATTTTACGTGTCGCGTATCTCTTCTATTGCCGCAGAGGTATTTGAGGCGGATTTTTTTTGCATAAGCCCCCGTCTCGGATCGTGTTTGCAGAGCGGATCGTGCAGATTGTGGTCTGGCAACCCACAGCAGTTAATTTGCCTTTGACACGAACGCGCGTGCTAAAAAAACAGAGCCGCAGACATGAAGAAAATGTAAAATTATGTTGACCTATTTTTTTGACGGTCGCAAAATCTTGTAAGGGGGTTAACGTAAATCTACAAAGCTAAGTCTGCGTTGGGTCTAGCAACTGCGTGCGGACTTGCTTCCCCCATCATCGCCCGGGTCTTTTTTCCCTCCGATACGTCCAGAGTCGACACCACGCGTTCAGAATTATTCAGCTGCTGCTGTACATCGCCACGCGAGAAGCCACTTCGCTTGAGCGATCGTTTGTGGCCAGGTCGCTTCTGAAAACGAACCAAGGGGCCGTCCATAAGTGACGTCACGCATCTAGTGGGGGGGGGGGGGGGGGGGTCGGACATTTGTGACGATGTATGACAAGAGGTTCCACCTGAAGACGGAAGCTTGTGTTGCCTCCGAAACGTCGTGATTTTTATTCTATTTTACTTTTATTAATTTTAATGTTTTACCTACGTGACTTTACCGAAAAAAACCTAAGAATATAAATCCTTGCAGTCACGAAAGCTTCAAATCTAGAATTAAGGGGAAGGGGGGTTTGAGAAATGTGACGTCACATCAAAATGCGCAACTTTAAATAAATATAGACAACACGTTCTACTTGATTAAATAGACTTCTTAACAAATGTTTTCCCCAAGTAGCTCGGTGGATCTTTATCCGGTAAAATAAAACGTTCCTTCGGAGTGGGCAGGTAGGAACTTGGTTGGACAGCGCGTTCGTGTGATCCGTGTCACACGACCGCAGAAGCGCATCTGGAAGCGCTCGGTGCGGCGAACGACTTTGCCCGATGGCCGGTCACAAGCCGCTGCATGCTCCTTGCCGAGGTCGGCAAGGTGTTTGTGGTTCGTCTGTGACGATGCACGTAGGGAATACGGAGACGTCGGTCCTCGAATGATTGGCGTCACGAAGCAGTCCTTAACAAGAAGCCACGAGCGGCTGCTGAGCCGCCCGTCGCCCGAGCCCCTGACCCACCCCGTTGAGCGGTCGCAGAGGCGTGCGCGTTGCGAGTTCAATGGGGTCACGGTGGCTCCCCCCCACCACCACACCCCCCTTCCCCCCTCCCAATGGGGGCACCAAGTGAGTGGTTCCCAGCAGCGTGATTTTTTTTTGCGTAACTTTTTGTGTTTGCTGTGAATGTGACCCTGTGTGTGTGTGCCGGCATGACTTTTTTTACTCGGGACATGTTTGTTCTATGAACTTGCAATTTCCAAGGCCTCATCTGGGGAGGGGGTGGGGACTGTTTTTTTTGATGAGCGGGAGCGCTCAACATTGCCAAGTAGCAAGCAGTATGAGGCTAAATGCTTCCAAGCGTGTATGTCCGAATAACCAACTCATCCCACTGACGAAAAAGAGCAATCGATCGTCATGCACTGCCTTGTCATGATTGTTTCGCATTGAAAATGACCTTCAGCCGCAATGAGCGCTGCACGGAGTTCATCCAATTGCAGCCACGACCGGGGCACTGCTGCAGACAAACACAGCGGCGTGACGCACGTAACAGCAGGAGCACAGGTGAAGTGCTTCGTTCACTTTAGAACCAACACATGAGTTCGCTGCCTGCTGTCACTTGTTCAAGAGGGGAACTGAGTAAACAAATGAATACACAACAACAAAAGAACAGCGACCAGTCGCTGCCTATGCCTCTTCCACGAGTGGGAGACCCACAGTGGCCACCCCAATCAAATAATGGATCAATCAAAAAATTAATTAAGCAAGCAGTGGATCAAGCAAACAGTGGATCAATCAATCACTTGATCAAACAATGGATTAAACAAACAGATCAAGCAAACTATGGATCAACCAAATAATGAATTAAGCAGTTGATCAATCAAACAGTGGATCAAGCAAACGATTGATCAATCAAACAATGGATCAACCAAATAATGGTCCGTACATTTGCATTCTAAACCCTCTCCGGCGGATCGCGTTGTTTGTGAAGCTGTCATCACATAGCTCGCAAACCTTGAACCTGGACGTGTAATTGGCAACATGCTCGCCATGCGCTCGCAGATGTGGCCGATGTAATACAAAAAAAACATTATTAAATGAGGCGAAATTTACGTTTTTCTTTGTTACATATATTCATTGAACGACGCTCATGATTGTCTTGCGTTGCGGACCTTAACCGAGAGGGTGTTTGCCTACAGACTGTCTGGCAGTTCAGAATCTCAATATTTATTTACACTGGTGGAATCCGATGAGCTATGAAGCTCTTTTTAAATCATTTATATTAAGTTCGCTTGCTTGCGCGCTTACGACCGTGCAAATCTTTAGGTCGTTTTTTAACCCACTTCCCGTGATCCAATCGAGCTGAAATTTTCCACACAGACTCGTTGTGCGTGACAATTAATTTTAGTGAATTTTTTTTACACTTTTTAGGACAAAAATTATATTTAATTACCAATTGCTTAATGGTGGCAGACAATCATCTGACCCATAGGTGGCAGCCATCTCAAGCCAGAGGACGAGAGGACTCTAGCCGCCACGCATATAAAGGATTTATAGTGAAAAACTTTGTTTTTACGGGTTAATTTTTTCACAGTTCACCACTATTGGTTGAAGCAACCTTTGCTGAAGAGACACTGAACATCGACGCCCGTCTAGATTGGTGCCTGCATGCTAAGCTAATGCTGCTAAAAACAACCAACTCTCAGAATCAGGATCTTTATGTACACTTCAAGAGGAATCCGATGACCAACGCAGCTCTAATTCACAGATGCCCAGTATGGAAGGCGGGTGAGCGAGTTACGACAGCAGGCTGTGTGACCGATGAGATCTAAAAAAAAACGTTTATATTCACGTGGCGAGACAAATTTATACAGGAGCATTATTCAGTTTAGCGCGTCGGCTTTCGCGACCAATAATATTAGTAAGAAAGGTTTTGGGGTTAGATCGCGTAAATACTGTATAAATGCGTCGTAACCCTCCACCACCCGACACAGCCAATGATGCTGGATGTAGTTACCAGCGACACGTCGTTCTACTCAGATTGTAAATGTTGTAGATTTACTCTCCAACACACCGGTGGGCTGAAGTAGTAACTAATTGGCGTTTTGTTCACGTGACAAATCCCCTTACTAATTGGCTGTGTCGTTTGCTGGAGGGTTACGACACATTCATACTAAACGCGATCTAACCCAACAACCTTTATTATGAGGAGGCATTCTTGTCGGCGCGTCTACATCAAAAGCTCCCGTCGGCTAACTGCAGGCAATGGCAGCGAGCGAGAGTGAGAGATGGGGCGGGTAGG